TTTTGACCCCTTCTCCTTTTCTTACTTGTACCTTCTTTCTTATTTTGTCTCTATACCTTGTTCTGCCTTATCCTTTCCGTTTACTACAAGATTTTTCTTCATAGTGTCTACCCAACTAACAATTATCACTCCTATTAGAGTTGCAAGAATGATTATACAGTATTCCTTACACAGCATTGTATACTGTAAGAACATTGGCAAAACCCTCTTAGAACAGCTATAAAAGTACACTTCATTCATTTAAGAGGTTGTATAAGGGCTGCAGGTAACAGTTATACAACAAAAGTGTAAGCCTCATGCAGCCGCTATAGGAGATTTGCATCAGTGCAAGATTCAGATTTTGTCAACTATACAACTATTCTGCTACGTGATTCTACTTTACTGCAACCAAACTATTTCTTATGTATTGTATAGACGAAGTGAAGAATATATAACTGACACATTACAGTCATCTTGTTTACTTATATATCGGCCATTGTGAGTTTCATACAGAGGTATATGATAAACTTCTACACTATGATATAGTGCTATTGAATTACTTGCGCAGCAAATGTTATTGTGATTATCGTGCAAAGTAGTTACACAATTTCTACGGGCTTCGTATTTGATTCATATTTTAATAATGATAAAAAGTATGTCTAGACTTTTAAGATGGAACACTGAACTTATCCGCGTTAAATCTTCCACAAATCCTATATTTAGACACAATTACACTAATGTTTATCACTTTATATCTGTAATTTCGCACTGAAACATAATTATTTAATACTAAATAGAGGAATAAATGTTTGCCCAATATGGCGGGTGGTTGTGTATAATCATGACATCGTCCATGTTGTCTTTGGTTTATTAGAATATTTTGGTGTTGCCTGCAGGTGTTATACAACAATTTGACAAATGTCGAATGATTTCCCCAGAATTCGTACCAGATCTATATCTTCTGTTTGAACAGTTGATAAAACCTTTTGAACCGATGTGCATGCGTTATTTGTCTTGAAACATACTGGTTATGGCATTTTAACAAAAATATGACAGCAGAAAGTTAGGCTATGGTGAAGTTGTATACCAACATATTTAGCAACAGATGTATACCGAGCACAGCAATTTGTACTACAAAAGTTATAATATTGTTGCATATGTACAGCCTTTAACAGTTACTAAACAACAGTTGTATAAGTTTTTCCGTTGGGAGCTAAGTTGCCGTATAAAATAGTTGTATAAACGTTTATGCAACAGTTAAAAATTTGTCCTATAAGGTGTTCTATAACTATGCTATAAGAATATTTTAAACACCTCATTTTAGAGCAAATATGTTGCAGAAAGCAAATTTGCAATCCACACAACATTAAGCCAGCATTCTGGTGTTCAGGCAACAACAATAAAGAGCTTTTATAGCTGAACGGTTCTTTTACCAAAAGCTTATAGCACTACTTTGCTGGTTGGATAATTTCTAGATAATCAGAATTGTAGAATGGCTGACTGTGTTAGGGGGCTTAGCAAGTCACTGATATCCAGTCAGTGGATATGAATAACTAAATTGATATCTAAATATATTGAAAGTAAAGAACAAGAGCTATGTTTTTGTAGAGGGAAGATGGCCGTTTTGTGTAGGAATCGGACGCCCATGTCGATTTTGCGGCACAATCCCTTGAATTATGTATCAGGTTTGTTCGTTGACGAAACCGAAGTCAGAGGCTGGTTTAGTGCATGCCGGCAATCGATGGTAATGAGGGTAGTTTCAGCAAAACAGACATCGTAAATGCCACCGCCGGATATGATATCCGGCTTGATACACCTCATTTGCTGGCATACGAAAATACCGCATCTGTAGCATCAAGAGAGAATGTACGCTGCTAAAAATGATTTTGTATTCATTTGTTGTTTCTTAGATACTGCTAAGTTGCCTCTCTGAAATTATTACTCGGTAGACTTGTACGATTGTTTTTGAAGAGGATATTGATGTAATATAACACTTGAATAGTATGTGTGTCAGCAAAAGATATTTGATCACGCCGCTGACTGTATTTAATTCATAATGCTCGTCATGTTTGATGCTTGTACGAGTACGTCATTATACTGTACCCGCTTTTTCTGAACTACCAGTGATAGAATAAGATATACGGTATAAAAATGTCTGAGGGTGTAGTAGTCAGTCGGGTGGACGTCCTTAAATAAATTCTAGCTTTTCAGCTGGACTTAAATGGAGATGTATTGTTTATGTCTTTCTCAGAGCTCAGACACCTTGAAAGTGACAACGTTACTTTTAGCGAGCGTTCTGTTTCATTGTACTTACTCTTTTATTTTTAAATATAATTAGTCTATATATACTTTGTCTACACCCAGACACCCACTAGGAATAAAGAGTTGAGACCAGAGTGTGACGGACTTTAGCGGACCTTTTCAAGTATAGTCTTCTTCTGCTTTGAGGGAGGATTCTCTAAAGTTGTTTATCTTCTGGAGTAACATAATAAAATGAATGTTCGATTTTAATTACTTCAAGGTATATAGCGCGGGTACTCGGTTGCCAAACGATAGCGATGATGGTCTTGTATCGTCTGCCGTTTTGAGTGACCGATACTATAGAGTGCGACTGGATTGAAAGTCGTTGCCATAGGAGTATTGCAACGAATTCGGATAGACTAGAGAGAACCAAGCCCACATGGCAGTGTTTGTCGCCAACATTTAGTATATATTTGGATACATTTTCCTACCGATGGCTACCAAATTGTCAGAGCAATACATCGGTGAGCATCCTTTTACTTTGAAAGAACGAAGCCAGTTGTATTGGGTGCACTCTCGTTTATCAAGCCAGAAATGCTATCTATGTTGCAATGTGCATCATTAAGATCGCTAAGATATGGGGATATGTTAAATAGGGTAAAGAGGTGAAAATGAGTATTTATTAATGATGTAGCTTAACTTTGGAAAGTGAAAGATACGAAAAGTTGTTTTTACCAACAGCGGCGTTGATGAAATACCTGACATCGGAGATGCACCTTATTCGAAATGCACTCGGTTTTTCTAAATGACTATATTATGTGTAACGAGCAGATATTTGGCTAGAAACTAATACAGTAATGGACAAAAGTATATAGACAAATTAATATTGTGCTGTATTTCTTTTTTAACTTGTGTTATTAATACACCAACCTGTATACATAATTCCTTATAGAATAATACTTACTTAAAAGCTTAATTGAAAAAAACTGGAACTATGAAGGACAAAAATATATAGACAAAGCAAAAAACAATTATAGAAAAAAGAAGCAAAGTTCGTTGAATTATAGAAAACCAACCGTGTCTGTGTTAATATTTTGTAGCATAACCATTATTACCAATCACCGTCTGGCATCGTCTCGGCATAGATTGTAGAAGTTTCTTGATGTAAGATTCATCAATCTGTCTCCACTTTTGCTCTAAAGCGGCAAAAAGTTCATCCTTGTTTGAATAATTTTTATCTCGTATTTGCTTATCTAAGTACTCCCATAGATTTTCAATGGGATTTATATCGGTAGACTGTGAAGTCCATTTGAGATCTGGTATTTTTCCATCCAGAAAAAATTTCTTTGCGAGATTTTAAGTGTGCTTCGGGTCATTATCTTGCTGAAAGATTGATCTTAAGGGCATACTGTCTTCCATATATGGTAACATGACATGCTTTAGTATGTCTGTGTATACAAACTTATCCATAATGCAAAAGTCCCATCCCAAACCCCGAAAAGCACCCCCAAACCATAACAGACCCGCTTCCATATTTGACAGTGGAAAAAGTGTACTTAGGGTTCAATCTTCGTTTAATTTAATCTTCTACCTATAGTTTTCGTAGAAACACTGGCAATTCCTTTTGTCTGGATTTCGGCATTTATTTGTCTTGGGGTTTTAAACGGATCTTTGGACGAAATTACTATCTGATCTAGCATTTAGTTTTCTAGGCCGACTACCCATCTTAGAGGCTTCCATTTTTGTTTGTATTTGTTCAATATTGTCCAAACAGTTTTACGCTTCAGCTTCAAATTTTTGGCAATGTCGACTTGACGTTGACCATCTTTGTATGACTCTATGATCTTAGTTTTCACATCGAAATAAATTTCTGGACCACGCGACATGGTCTTAAAGTCACTCATCTTATTCCACAATACTTGATGAACACAAACTAATCCTCTTCTGACACGAAACTGTACTAAACTAATGTTGGAAAGAACTTGTCTACATATTTTTGTCCCTCATAAAAAAGTGCTTGTATTCAGACTTGTATTGTGTTCATTGCACATAATGTAAAAACAAGGAATTTAGTTTTACTACTAATAACGCATTTGTTTATGGAGCAGTGAAGTATGAATTTGTTCTCTAAAGGTATTTAGGTAAATATTTATATTTGTCTATATGTATATACTTTTGTCCATTACTGTACGTTGTTGAACAACAAATGGCACATAAAAGATCTAGTCGGGGTCTTACTAATTTGATATTAATTGCTTTCTTGGAGCACGGTGGGGTTCCTTGAGAATCCCATAGCTTATAATACGTCAACCAAGATATTTTCTAGAAATATTTAGATACAAAATGAAATTCCGTGAGTAGATAAGACAAAGTCAAAGTTTTAGTTCGTCCTTTACAGTAAGGCTGAACAATTTTGGTTTATATCTAATGCTTGGCATTCTTTAACGTTGTAGTAGGTACAAATTTTTGTTAGCAAATATTTCATATGTGGTTTGAAAATTTCAAAAATTGATAAAAATAAATGAAAACTGTATTATAGCTGACCAGGTGGAAGTTCAATTCTGGGATACATGCCCTTTCGCAATGCCGATGACTCTCGTATATCAAAGTCAATAAAAAGGTCTGCTTTTATTCAGCTTGAACTGGCTTGTGCAATTCACAAAAACCTACAACATTTTCGACAGTTGTCTGAACACTACAACTGTCCCCACTTTTATATGTTTGCATAGCAGAATACGAATTTATTTCGAAGTGTCATCAACTGTCAAACTGGCGGCTAAGCCAGATCGTTTGCCCTGTACCCTGACACCTGACTGGGATGCGGTAGATTAAAATAGATCGCATTCTTGTTCCTTCTGCCTAGTAAGAACTCACAAAACTCGTCAGATAAGCAATTATCACTATCGTCCATACAACCGAAGAGTCCATAAATGGAGGATTATGGACCAACTATTTCATTGCTAGCAAGTGGCACTTTCGGTAAGATATGCTTTTCTCTTTTAGTAGAGCGTCTGTAATTCTTCCCATAACTGGCAACTTTCGAGTTAAAACAACCGGATAATTTGCTAAGTGCGACAAAAGAACTGAAAAAGCTTGTACAAGAAAGAAAATTAAGAAAGTTCCTTTCAGTCCAAAACAATGTCTGCAGTTGCAGCAGTCGAATAGGTAGACGTCCTTTAATAAATTCCAGCATTTTAACTGAAAGTTTAATTAAAAATGCATTGGGCAGATTGGGAATCACAAGTTCTCGCGGAATGCTGCTCTGGCAAGTTGCTTGTTATTGAGTTGAATCGCTAGACGGATGCAAACAAACTTTGGACAACTTTAACTGCTGTTTCATTGTGTTTGAGATCGCTAACGGTATCGATTTGGATGCCTTAGTTTGCCAGAGTTCTCTTTGCTTGCCCCGCAGGTACGGCTCCAAGAATTTCCTCAGATATCAGCAAGGTAGGTAGAGAGAACATCGATCCACACAATAGTATGTTCGTGTGTATAAAGTGGAATACAGCTCAAAACTACTAACAATGTTTTGTAAACTAACTGAATCTCCTGCTCAGAATCTGGAGAAGCTGATTATGTCTATCAAAAATGTAATAGGGTGCCGGCAAGAATTTCTAAGTTTCAACAATATCATCTTTAGTATCCACCCCAAAGGCACAAGGCGCAATTGCTTACGGCCTCAGCGTCGAAGTAGGATACCAAATTTCATTCTACTCTGGGTCTCCTTCAGCCGTAGTTCCTGAGACCATCTGTGCCCAGGGGCATATTTTTAGCTCAAGACTGCCCTGTATTTATAACAAATTTTTCTTCCACTGCTCCAAGCCAGAAAAACAAAGACAGTTTGATTTGTTCTACGAAAGTTCATTTGCTTTAATAGTATTGCCGCGTTCAGACCCTTTTACAATGTATGTATAATATTACTGAGATATCCCGGTAAGAGATTTACAGTTATGTAGTAGTACTCTAGGTGTACTGAAATTTAGCATAGAGAAACATGATGGACAGTCATGATGGTAATTTATAACTTTGAACAAAAAGACTAAAGATTGTATCTTCCTTCTATCATCAAGGCTGAGAAACCTAAGCTTTTGAAGTAAGTTATTTTGTGAAATCCCTATGGGAGGATAAACACCATCAGTTTTGAGAGATAAATACTTCAAGAACTTCCTCAGAATGTTTTCCAATGAGTCACATGAGGTAACATAGCGCGTCGGTTCCAGATTATCCTTCCGTATTCCAGCTTAGAAAGAACAAACGAATTGTACAGCACTGTAGGTGCTGTGGTACCGATAAACTCTCTTGAATTGCGTATAACGAATCCCAGTGCTTTGTTGGCAGAATTCACTAAATTAGTTACGTGTGCACTGAAGCTATATGTCCTGTCAAATATTACTCCTAGGTCCTGAACTCCTCTAAAGTCTGAAGAGGAGTGTTGTTAATTTTATAACTATGAGTAATTGAATTTACTCTCCTACTGAAAGTTAAAGATTTACATTTGCTCACGTTGATGGGAAGTTTATTAGCAGCACACCACTCAGACAGTCTGTCAAGATTCCTTTGTAAGTAAAAGCAACTAGATGGATCATCAATTTGCCAGTACAGTTTTACATCGTCCGCGTAGAGCAGAATATTGCAGTCAGTCGTATCAACTAAGTCATTAATAAAAACGACGTATAGTAGTGGACCTAAGGAAGATCCTTGTGGGACGCCAGTAGAGAGAAAAAGGTGAATTCATTTACCACCGTTAAAATCCACATATAGTTTGCGATCAGACAAATACGACTGAAATAATAATACCAAATTTTTTGATAAGCCAATGCTATTTAGTTTTCCCAGTAGTAAACCATGATCGACTCTATCAAATGCTTTACTAAAATCAGTATATAGCACATCAACCTGACCATGATGAAACATTGCATCGTCTAAGAACTTCAATGTACTTCCAGAGCCTTCCCTCCCTTGAAGCCATAGATATGTCTCTAGCATCCGCGGCCACACCAACCTATCGAAATATCAATCGAACAAAGTAACGTAAATTATTGAAATCATAATCAGTTTTAAAATAAATACTTTAAGTAAGTTGACCAAAGAAACCGAACGTCTCTTACGCTACCTTTACCATGGCAGACTAACAAGCTTAAAGTTTGAGGTGTATCATTTTACAGTAATTCTTGACAGCAAAATCCGGGATGCTGTGTATCATCCATTAGATTGTGTAGTGAAAAATTTCTTCTTTCATTATTGCTTCCTATGTCCACTGTGTATTATGTAAAAAACCTATAAAATGTCATCTTGCAGACTAGGTAGTCTTTAGGCTGCAAACAGTCATTCCACATTTTCTCACTAGGATCGTTGTGAGCGTCCATCTATGGAGGCACGGTCAACTATAGGTATTGCTGGTTGCATATGTTTTGTGAGGCCGAGTAGTCTGTAACTCTTTTATCTCTGAGAAGACGTGAAACAAAGAAAGTTGGTTGAATAGCAAGATCGCAACTGAATGATTATGTGTAATGTATAAAATCAGTGATATTTGCTGTGTGAGAAAATTATTACTTAACATGCTGCCAATGAAGTATATCTATTAGCTGTGCCCGGCGGGTTATTTGTATGTTATCCTTTCTGAAGACAGGTTATGTTCAAAGTTATAAATTACGGTTTTTCCCATTTTTGAGTGTGTGTGTATGTGTGAGAGTGTGTGTGTGTGTGTTAGGAGCACTACGAGAAATCGCCACCGGGCCTAGGTTGTGTGTAGTTAAGCCCTTCCACAGAACAATTAGTAATGATGCATCCCACATCAAACATTTTCGCAATGCCTTACATCTAGGTGCTGATTTGTATCTTTTGTTGACATAGAAATAAATTTCTATACAATTTAAATGATGGAAATAAAAAGTAATGCAACAAACTTTGCATTTTCATAAAATTTCCTGCCGGTCGCATATTTTCTTACCTGTTCCTTCACCAACCATGGATTGCCTTTTGGTATCTCTCTCACTTTTGAAATCCAGCAAGGCAAAACGAATAAAAAAGTGGATGAGCAACTAATTTGTAGCTTTGAAACTCAAGCAAGTGTATTCGAGACAAGAGTCCAACGAAATTATCACCAACACATATTATCAGCACACAAATCCTCACGATGCAGCTATGCATTGTAGTTTCCTTCTAGCTATAGAATACAACTTGCAGGTTAGACCTTCAGTAGTGCCATCTCTTAAGCAGATTTGACATCACATCAGAGCCAAGCATTGATAAGTAAAGCATTAAGACGTTCAGGCAACACGTACAACAAAACGAGTTCACAACAAGTATCCATCTGCTTGTTCTATATCACAAAAGACTAATACAATGACAGAAAAGAATTTCACTTTTCAAGATACGTGATACTCGTGCCAGATTTTGTTCATGTTAGTATTTTTCATAGAAGTTCCTAGTGAGGTTCCGCCTTCTGTCTATATTGGGATTAAGGATACTTGAGGATCTTGAAGTACTACTAGATAAAATCTAAGGTCCTTAACAAAGTATTGATAAATATAATCTCATAGCGACGGTGAGCTGGCATTATCTCCTAACTGAAATTTGGGAATTTTACAGGACGATAGAAAAACGATATACAAGCCAAAATAAATATAGCTCACTACATTTCTTTCTTACATTTATATTAATAGAGTCAATTGGAATCAAATTTTCCACAATTACATCTAGAATATTTACCAAGTACTTTTGAATTGTAGATAGGATAATATCAAATATAAGTTTTTTCAAATAGGATATGTTGCATGAATTTTTATATCTAGATAGGAGGTATTCAATGAGAAACAACAGTCATTCATCTCAAACTAATGATATAATTATAGTAGTAAACGCATAAAAGCAAACAAAGTTATCTTCGTCGAGTCGCAATACCTACAGTATTGACAGACACTCCTCACTGATACAACAAGTTGTCATAAAATCCATGTGTATCCTTTGGTAGAACCGATTTGAGGTCTTGGAGGTGATCCCATTTTTCTTTCTTAATTTTGCAATGATCTTTTAACAGTTGAGGGTAGTCCTCAATGATAGGCACATTATTGGGCCTGACAGGTATGTCTTGAAATGGTTCGTCATAAGATAACTTCACTTGAATAGCTGGATATGGTTCATATTCATATTTGATGCATTTTATGTCTAAAATGACAGGATCAAATGCTTTTTTTCCCGGCCTGATAGACGTATATCGTAAGAACTTGCTTTCAGCATAGTTTTAAAAAAAGCTGTGCTCTATAACATTCACCTCGTAAGGTTTTGGATGAACTCTACATTCCTTTGTAACTTTGGCGTAGTCACTTGGAAGATGTATTTCCCTATTTTTCAGCTTTCCTTCAATCAAGCTATGAACCGAGTCACATTCCATTTGGGTGTGACCCGGTTCCAAGTATTTCTGGTAAATTTTCACCTGATGTTTAGCGGAAAAATTGAGCAATGCATTTGACAATACGTTATTTCTATTTTGAAAGCCACATCCGTCGGAATAAATTATTATGGGCAATTTAGACGAGGTTAGGCATTTATTTTGCAGGAAGTCAATGATGCATGATGTGAATGTGGATGCAACCAATTGGTTATTTTGGTCTTCAGAAAACCAATAACACGTCACATGTTTACTAGCAAGATTGTAGATGGTGAAGTTGTGGCAGCACAGCTTTGTCTTGAAATAGGTTTTGTTTGCAGGGAGACAAGGTGATAATTTGACAGCTTGCAAGTCCATGCTCAACACAATACATGAGCCGTTCTCTGCCAGATCTTTATCCTTTGCCTTCTCCTGCCTTGCTCTATTTTTGTTTGCAATGTGAATTCTATATTTTTCTTCATCAGTGTTATTATACTTATATGAAAAACAAACATTGCATTGGTCCTTTTTAGGCTGGAACAGTGAAAGATTTTTTTCGTTAAATGTTTTTCTGAATATTTTTCGGTTAAGTGGCTTCATATCTTCTATTTCCCCATTTCCCTTGCAAAAGTCTTCATATACTTTGTAAAGATCGCTCATTGTATGGAACGTTTCCTCTAGGTATAATTTTGTAGTCTCCTTTCTACAATAGCGGGCTGGCAATTTTGGTAGTTTATTTAAAAACATCCTTAAATGGTCATATTGCTTGGAGTATCGTGCTTTATTATAGCTCAATCTATCTTTTTGTACTATATCTGTGCCCATGCCATAAGAACTCTTAGAAACCCACTCTTGAATTGTCTTATATCCTATATCTAATGTATTGACAAACATTTTCCTACATACTTGAAGCTGCTCTTCCCCATTGTTTAAAAAATATGTATAGGTACTTTGTCTTCTTGATGTTTCTTCACCTCTAGCCTTTTTTCCTTTAAAGACATTTGAGGATATAAACACTTTTCTTTGTGCCCAGTTCATTTCATTCCAGAATTTTTTGAATATATTTTTTCTGGTTTCCTCTTTGAACTTGAAACAGTTCTTATTTTTGCTCTTGTTACATCTTGCTGAGTTACAAGCCATTCCCATCTCTCTTTCCCTTCTGATTGTATCGTGTACTATTTTTTCGCCTTTCTTTTTCCTATAACCCAAGTATCCTTTACCTTCCATTCTAAGTTGCTTATTTTTCAAACGTTTCCATTCAGCTGGATCTTCTTTCTTTTTCTGGTCTCGTTCATCTTCTCAATATCTGCTAGTAAACGATCTTCGGCTAGTCTCCCGGTTCAGAATTACTATAATCAATTTCATTTCTATCTTTCAACACATCTTCATTTACTGGTTCAGCATGTGGAGAATCACTATCACTGAGCTCATCGCTTTCTATTTCATATGGCGCCAGACTGACACCACCTAGAAAATTGGAAAAAAGGACATCAAGCTCATGGACCTTAACCGTAAGCGTCAGTTACCGAGATATGAAAAGCTTCACAAAAAACTGTTATAAAGCTGAAATAACGCAAAGCGCACTTAGAGTTCTGTTTGTAATTAATCAGTTTTATAGAAAGATGAAATTCATAATTCAAAAACAAATATAATTAAACTGAAATTTTGACACTCGGCGACATGCCAATGTCAAGGAAAAGTTTTACTTTAATAGTTGCATTTCAACTAGAACACAAAACAGCAAACGATGTGTCTGAAATTACCTTTGACGATGCTTTGATTCTCTGAGCAAGCTGTACTGAGCTTATAGTTCGTACTGATGTAAACAGATGGACAGACATTTTGACGGCAGTTGACATCTGGTACATCGAAGTTGATAACATTCATTTCTTGGATATCTGAGTTTTGGGGTATATCCTCGGTTATATCCATACAGACACTTTGATTACTGGATGCTAAAGAATCTTGACTTCCGCGGCAAGCTTGGAAGAACATTCTTTCTGAATCTTCAAAAATCGGGATGTCATCACTTGGGCTGCTCAAGCAGTTTTCAAAATCTAGAGATAGTACATTTCCATCTATTAAGTCAGACGGCATTATAATCGGAATATTTTCGATGTCAAACACGTGCTCGTTTGGATCTTGTTCTGCTTTATTAAGACTTGTATCCATATTTTCAAGACTAACTTCATAATTTCTATTTTCATGTTCCTGATTGACTAAGGCCAATATTTTTCTTCCTAGGGAAGTCATGGCAATATCTCCTATTAGCGTCCTTTACGTATTCCTGCCAAATTTTCGCACCAAGTAAAATCTCCCACTAGAACAATACACAAATAACGTCACTCAACCATTTAATAAAAGGGTAATCTTATAGCATATAGTCACAAAATACTTCGTTTAAGTTATAGTTTCATAAGCAACAATAAAACCTACCTTGTGATGATAATGAATCAGTGAATAGACGGCTGGTATACAAGTCACGACGTGAACCGTATCATCACCCATTCATAACTGCGTCATAGGAGGTATTGCAATCATTTTTTCCTAGACCATTTGGTGGGAGAAATTTCAAGACTAAATATCGCGCTAAACTGTTGTTCTATGCTGAAAACTGCGCTTACGAGACATGCCTAGCATAGATTGCGATAGGAAGTCACAAAAATCTCATTTTGGCAAAAAAATCAGATAGGAGGTATTGCCAGCTCACCGTCGATATATTGTCATAGCATTGCAGGTCATTACAATCAATTTCTCAATCTTTTCCTGGACATGTCCATTTAGTGATATTAGAATTACCTACAAATAGCTTCCTGGAGATAACCTGATTTCTTATTTAATAAAACCTATATGAGATCCGTCTGAGCTGGCTTATTAAATTGTTGTCCTCTTGAGAGGGGTCAGGAATTAACCTTCAAATGCCCTCGTAAAGACAACTTGACCCCGGATTTAAAATCAGCGACAGCAAAACCTTCCTATTGTACCTTTTGTCAGCTTGTCGGCGCTCTAGACCACTGTGCGTCACCACTAGCTGTCACGTCTGGGAATTGCTACATATTTTAATAGGTGTTAGTTTGACTACTGATGCTGGCGCCGCCAATATGACATCGTGGTGAAGAAGGGATCGTGTAGTAATTCAAAACTGGAACCGAACGTTTCGAATCAGAAACACCACCGTTTCTGCTGGAAATGTTTCCGGGGGGTTGTTAATAAAAAACATTAGCAGAAGTCAGAAAAATTCCTAATGCCGCCGGTAGTTATAGTGTCTCGCCTAACAGGTGTAAGAGCAGTTCTAATAACCTCCGGTACCTTGTCTTGTAACTTTAAACTTCTGTTTGTTGACAGGAATGATTTTCAGATAAAATGCCACCATTCTTATATAGTACAGCAGTACCTTGATTGAATATCTTCTATGAATATTATTTTCAATGTTACCTATCCTTACACACTTTGTAATTCATTTAGTTGCTACACTCGATCAACTAAGAGACAACAACATACTGCCCACTACCAAGAGTCAACTTCATTTTAAACGACAGTCAAATGATCGTTGGTTTGATCGATTTTTTCATTCAACTGACCCCAAAGCTCTCTGGCCAAATTAATTTTCATTTCCTCGGATTACATAACACCATATAGAGCCACGTGCGCATTAGGGGAGTTGTAGCGATAAACATCTACACGGAATCATTTTTAATATCCACGGGATGTCTGCGTGAGGAATGTGCATGTTGCGTGGAATTCAGGAAATGGTGTAAGTCATTATTTGCACACTTCGTACTGGGTGTGCCAATTATTTGCATGTTTATCGGTGGGGAGTTATGCGTAAGGTTGATGGCAAATGCCTACTAAACTGTGAAATATAAAAGAAATCCCAAACTAGATCTATACAATTATCAGGAGTTGATTCTCTCTGAAGTAGGCGGAAGTATCAAATGCGAAAATCTTAAATCACCCTCCAGACCCAACAAATTTATTGAGTTGCCATATTGGCTATTAGCCTCTTAGTCTAATCAAGTGGTTGAGACTATTTGAACTTAGCTTCAACAGATCCTATTCGCCATACTACACCCATCATTCAGATCCAGTAGAGGACCATGTTGAACCACTTTTTTCAAACACAGTATTTGGAATATATTGCCTGAAATCTCAACCAGAAAGTATCTGAATCATGACTAACCTAATCAATATTTAAATAAACCAAGATGCCATTTACTTATTAGCATTACACGTGTCAATATAAAATCACTAGCTGTCTCAGGTATATCAAAATCTCAGTTTGGTGATCCTGTTTCCACGCAATATGACATATTTATGACTAAAGACCGGATTTTAAGCAATTTTGCTTATACGCCAATTTGTAAGCAGTATATAAGTAATGCCGTTTTAAGTACAAAGTAAATAAAAACAACTATTAGTTTTTCAAAAAAAAGTGCTTTTTTGCTTTTTTTCTTAATTTCAAGCTTATTTTCTAAATTTGCGCTTATTTTGAACTTTTTTCTTTAAATATCTTATTTTTTTCTACCTATTCAAAGGCTTAACCAAAAGTGCTCCTCAAACTGGGACGGACGCGACGCGACACGTCAGAGATATGGAGTGGGGGAGAATAACTATTTCGATGCGCGAACGAACTAATCATAAATTTCGCCATTTTCTAGTAAAAACTTGTCTGGGAGTGTTAAAAAGTAGTCGTTTTGTATAGAAAATTTGTTTACTGTGAGCTTACGGAAGAGCGTCAAAAAGTATCTTTTTAGTTCTTTAATGCTGGTTTTAGTAGAAATACATGTAGGAATTTACAGAATGTCTCGTTGATTCGAACCGAAGTCACTAAAGTACACAAAGTTTTATCACTTCACATTGTTGAAAATTTCATTAAGAACAGAGTTGCCTAGAAAATGGCGGTCCCTTGAAATGATGCACACTCTTCGAAACTCATTCTCCCTTCTCCATTTCTCTGGTGAAACCCCGATCAGTGTTTGTGTGTTCGTGCAATTCTAAAAATAGATGTGCGATACGCAATTCTAGGCTGCTAGTAGGGTGCTCATGGTTAAGATATTTTAAATAAATAACAGATCGTATACCGTGTCACCGATCCTCCAAGTACAAGTGAATAATTAAATAATTTTTTGTGGTGACCTAATACTGTGCGTAAATAATCAAAGATGTCAAAAGTAAATTATACTAACCTCAAGGTCTGGATCAAGGATAACCCGGAATTAAAAATTGAAAATGGAAAAGTATTTTGTCAAGCTTGCATAAAAACGGTAAGTTTTTCATAACATTAGGTATACCGGATGATTATTGATTATGATTAGTCCTAGAGCACATAGAAAATCCCATATTAATCCTACCTACCAAACTTGAATGCATTCTGCTTAGTGTTGTAAAATGTTCGAGAATTTTTTTTCGAGAACGTTCCTCGAGCACGAACGAAAATTTTCAGTACATACGAGTATAAATGAAGAAAAATAAAACAAAGGCAAAAAAGTCTGCGCTCTAATTGTGCTCTATTTATTAAGTTAAAAATAATATTAATCCACTTATCTCTTAAAACACTTATGCAATCTCTTAAAATTCAAAGCATAAAATAAACCGATCTGTAAATCCCCGAAAACCAACACTGTCAGATGTCATTGGTGTCAACGATCGACGACAGCCAACCTAATGCGAGGCGATCCGGTGTTGCAACGTCTCGTTGCTAAAGGACCGTTCATACCTAATGTTAACGCTAATGCTATGGGAACGTTAAAATTCTTGGGGTTCGGATTTATGCTCTTGAAAATAAATGTCACAAATAAAGTCGCGAACGATCTCTGAGAATAAATGGGAATGTTCCATTGCTCGCAACACTAATTCTGCTAAGCTGTTTTTGTAAAAAATATATTGTTAATCTAACCAATGTCAAAGGTAAGCTGTCATTGATTTCGATAGTTACTAGTAGCTGCATTCATAAATTAATGATACTCAATTAAAAAAATAATTGCAGTTCAGCCACATTTTGCGAATAGTACAAAAATAGCTGAACTCATGCACACTTTTTATTTATTTGTGCATATTTGTGCATTTGTACAATCATGTTTTTTCTATTTAGACTTTATTTTAGGTAGGTCAAAATTGATTTTAAAAAAAAATATGAATGAGCCCATGTAATCACTAATCAGTTTGGCAGGTATTCTAATCTAACAAAATAAATAATCCAATACTTTAAAAAATTTCATGAGATGAGATTTCCTGTATGTCCTAGGACGATGCATCAGCCATTAATTTTTATACAGGCATCAAGTAAAAACTACTTCATTTATTGTAGATTGTGTGTGTTAAAAAGTATGACGTAGTTCAACACCTGAAAACGAAAGTACACTCGGAACAAATGAAGAAGTATAAAGTTGATAAGCTTAAACAACTAACAATTGGTTCTTCCATGGCATCTGCTTCGGGCCGTAGTGAACAACAAGAATTTAATCAGGATCTCTGCAATGCCATGTTAAAATCAAATATTCCTTTAAACAAGTTGAAAAACACTCACTTTAAAGAATTTTTGGAAAAACACTGCAAACGAAATATACC